ATGAATAGTCTAGCGATAATATCACTAAGCCATCGCCTCCCCAATATACAATTCCAGAATAACTCCCAAGTCTAGTAAATTAAGGCAGTATGACATTTTGAGCACTCTGGTCCCCTGTTCCTCTAGACCTCAGTGTCCTATCCTATATTGTGTATTCCTTTGCCTTGTTCACTTGCATATCCCATTACTCATCTAGCTGTCACTGAAAATTCAGGTGTATCTGAGGATATCAGAGAAGCAGTCCACCACAATGTATAGAATCATACAATGGCCACAACACAGAAGGCCATTAGCCCTGTAAAGTCTGTGCTGGCATATCACAAGCATTCAGAAATTTGGTGCTATCAGTGACAGTCTTTACTGCAGCAGTGAACTTCCAGCTCACAGCATTATCATTCAAAAGGCGTGACGTTCTGAAGAAGGTCATCAAGCTGAAATGTTAACCCTGTTTCTCTCTCCATAGGTGCTTCTCGACCTGTTGAGTGTTTCCAGCATTTTCGGTCTTTATGACAGTATCTGTGAATTGGCAATGCACATGTGCACCAAATAGGTTACCAACTGGTTCCAAGACACGGCAAGTACATTCTTCATATTAGTCATTTAAAAGTGTCAGCATAGGGGCTACAAATAAACTGAGCATTTCCCCAAACTCCAACATGCTGGTGATACTATCCACATAGTTCATTCTACATGTTTCCACTGACCTTCAGAATCAGGAGGCTGGTCTTGGGACAAGGTCGGGGGTGGGGAGATTTTGAAACTAGTAAAGTCCACATTGAGACCATTGGGTTGTAGGGTTCCAAGGCAGAATATGAGGTGCTGCTCCTTCAGTTTCCAGGTGGCATCGTTGTGACACTGGAAGAGGCCTGGGATGGACATGTCATCCAGGGATTGGGAGGGGGAGTTGAAGTGGTTTGCGGCTGGGAGGTGTTGTCATTTGTCGCGAACCAAGTATAAGTGCTGCACAAAGTGGTCTCCGAGCCTCTGCTTGGTCTCCCCGATGTAGAGGAGGCCACATCTGGAACAGCGGACACAATAGACCACATTAGCAGATGCGCGGGTGAACATCTGTTTAATGTGGAAGGTTTTCTTGGGGCCTGGGATGGGGGTGAGGGGGGAGGTGTAGGGGCAGGTGTAGTACCTCCTGCGGTTGCAGGGAAAAGTGCCGGGGGTGGTGGGGCTGGTGGGGAGCGTGGAGCAGACGAGGGAGTCACGGAGAGAGCGGTCCCTTCGGAAGGCAGGTAAGGGTGGGGAGGGAAATGTATCCTTCGTAGTGGGGTCAGATTGCAGGTGGTGGAAGTGGTGGAGAATAATGCGTTGAATCCGGAGGTTAATGGGGTGATAGGCAAGGACAAGGGGGATTCTGTCTTTGCTTTTATTGCCGGGAGGGGGTGTGAGGGCTGAGGTGCGGGAAACGCAAGAGATATTCCGCCTTGGAACCCTACAACCCAATGGTCTCAATGTGGACTTACCAGCTTCAAAATCTCCCCACCCCCGACCTCATCCCAAGACAAGGCCCACTCTTGTCCCCGCCTCCTTGACCTGTATGTCTTCTCTCCCACCGTTCTGCTTCTCCTACCTCACTGACCAACCCCCAACCCCTATTCCTACCTACACTCACCTACTAGCTTCATCCCCGCCTCCTCGACCTGTCCGTCTTCCCTCCACCTATCTGCTCCACTATCCATCTTCTATCACCGCCTCCCCCTCTCTCTATTTATTTCAGAGCCCCCTTCCCTTCCCCCATTTCTGAAGAACGGTCCAGACCCGAAACGTCAGCTTTGCTGCTCTTCTGAGGCTGTGTTCATCCAGCTCAACACCTTATTATCTCAGACTCCAGCATTGGCAGTTCCTGCTATCTCTTAGTAAATCGCTAATTGTCTTTGATCCTTAATATTAAAGTTACCACCACACTTCATTATTTGACTTCTTTTGAACTCATACCTATCAATTTTATCTCCAAAAATAACGCTACTTCTATCAACTGCTGTTTTCATACAGTAGTGACTGACTGCATTTCAAAAACATTTCATTTGCCGTGCAGTGGTTTGGAATGCCTCATGGTTATGAAAAATGTAAATAAAGGTATATGAGCATGTTGCGCCCGTAGGTCTCTAAGGTTAACCTTCGCAACACGCTCAAACTGGCAAGGAAATGGGAAAACTACACCAAACTAGAGAGCGCAACCCGCGAACAACTCTACTTCCTACATCGATGCCTCAGGAACCAGGTATTACCACGCAGTGTGAAGTACAAACCACCCATCAACAACCTTAGAGAAAAATAAAGATATTACATTTACTTACCATAATCCCCTACATTAATTGATCAGCTTTGCTTCTGGAACTAACTTGATTTGAATAAAAGCTGTGAGCTTATTAACATTGCAAACAAACATACAGAGTTCAAACCCACAATACTTTTCTTCGAGACCCTTATAACTATGGTTCACTTCAAGATGTTTCTTGCTCCAAATCCCTCAGACAGTTCAGCTCAGATGTTCTGACTTAACTTCTTATTTTGGATATTTGATTTGCCAAATATTCACTCAAACCCCGTGTCAGGCATCCATAGGCTAGATTGGAAGTTTTCAAACAGTGGTGTCTGTCTAAATTATCAAATGGATGATTCGGTGGTGGATTATCATAAAGTTGTGTCTGAACTCAAAGGAATCAATGAAATTATGAACTCTGCTCGTCTTGCTAGTGCATTGGTATACTGCACTGTCCCTCGACTCTGCATTGCATGTTACATAACTTACCAGCACATTATTTTTAATGCTTGAATAAAATGTAACCTGTAGAAGTGAATGACAATAGACTTATGTTGGGGAAACTGTCATTTGAAATATGTCCTGCATTAAGGTCAGAACACAATAGGCAATCTGTCAGAACAGAATCTACAGCTGCCGTCCTGTTCCTTTATTCATGAAGCAGTCTAATTTCACTGTAGAAACTGTTAAGTCTGAATTACAGTGAGATAGAAGAGAAAGAGAACTGCAGACAGAAGAGGTAGAAAATAGCAACAAAATGTATTAATGAGTAAATTATGCTCACTCTAGATGTTGCACTTCAATATCAAGACATACAATTCAACTACTGCGCAAAGTGCATACCTTGCTGAGACTAAGATAGAAAATCGTGATGAGAGGGGATTTCAATGGGTTAATATGTTTCGCTTTAATTTATCATATAAAACAAATAGAAATTCATATAAACAGTTCCAACATATCTTAACGGATTAACTATTTTCAGTAGAGTTGAGTTGTTCAGTCAGTCTTCAATTTAGTTGAACTACAAAGAGACCTTCAGTCTTGTACTGGGTGCTTTCAAGCTTGTCACACACTGTGGAATTCATTGCCTCAAAACAAGGGCCATATATGGCCTCAATGATACAGAATATCCCTCAGGCTCCTTTCCAGCCATTCTTTCCAAGTCTTATTCCCCTCAATCAACTGTTTATCCGCATGTTGTTCTGGTTTTAATCTGCAGATTGTCTAAACAACTTATTCTGACCAAAGGATCCTGTTGCTTACTTCTTTTGACAGATTGATTTTTCTGGCCATTGTCCAGAGTTAATAGTTGCTCATTGTAGATACTTAGAAAATCTCTTTCAAACTTGCTGTTTTGGTCCTTGTATTTTTATAGCTGTACAACTTAATTCCACTATTGAGAAATCCTAGAATCTTTTTTTCAAAGAATAACTGTTTTTAATTTTCAAGATGAGTGTGCAGGTCAGAAGTGACCTTGGAGGCAACTGGGCCAGACTACTTTTGATCCATTGCCTCTTACTGAAAAATAAATGACAGTAGGGCATCAGCAAAAGGAAAGGTTAGTTAAAATGCAAAATACAGTTAAAATATGGTCAGTCAGAGTCAGTCCTAAGTGGGGTGGAAGGAACAGTGTACCTTTATGTAGCACCTTTAATGTAGTAAACCATTCAATAGTGCTTCACAGGAATGTTGTTGAACAAACTTTGACACAGACACTTAAGGAGTTTTAGGACAGGTGAAGAAAAGCTTAGTCATGAAATAAGGTTTTAAGGGTTGTGATAAAGGAGAAAAGAGAGGCTGAGAGATTTACAGAACAATTCCAAAGCTTAAGACCAGGACAGTGTTGGCGCAGCTGTCAATGATGGACTAATCAAAATCAGGAATACTCAAGAATCCAGAATTATAAAAATGCACACATCAGCAGCAGCATCTCTGGTGTCAATGGATCCAGTCCCAACCTCTCCACACCCCTCTTGCTCTACGTCCCTATTTATAAAGACTAGAATGGTGTATGATTAATAAACAGCTCTGTCCACCTGTCCTGCCACTTCTAACAACCTTTGCACAAGGGGACCCCGATTTATGAATGCTCATACTTATGAACTCGATCCCATACAGGGGTCAATTTTAAACATACAAACATCACCTGTACTTACAAACAGATCCTTTACATTGTCCTGCATTGTATTCCAACTTGCATAGAAATCAACTTGCGAATGAACTCTAGAAATGAGCCTGTTCATAATCCAGTGACTGCCTACACATATACAGCTGGTTCTTTCTGCTCCTGCACACCATTTAGAATTGTACCATTTAGACTACCTTGTCATATTCCATGTTAACATTTGAGGTCCACGATTTTTCAAACTTAACTTGGTTAATAGGTTTGTATCATAACCAGCAGTGACATTTTTGGGGTCATTTCATAAAGAAACATTTGATGTATAAAAATACAAATTTTGGGGCATGGAGAATTTAATAACTGCTGTTAATGCTTAACAAAGTTGCCACCAACCAGTGTCTTCTATAATATCAATCACTTTCAACAATTTGGTTTCCCTGTGAAGCGCCGCATCAGGGTGTGACCAACTGCTGATCAACACAGACTATGTATGAAGTGTGTACCCTTGACTTTCTTGCCCCTGGGTACGCAGGAGCTATTTTTCATGTTAATGATTGAAAAAAGCATGAAATATATTGAGGACATAACATTTGCAAATAACATGGCTTTATTATTGATGTTACAATAAAAGTGATTTCTACATAATATACATTATATACAATGGCTTAGGTAACAGCAATAGGCCACACATGCAAAATATATTGCGCAAATTATATACAGACACCGGAAGATCTTTTGGCCATACAACAAAGAATTGGGTGCTCTAAAATTTGATGACTTGATAGAAACTGCAATTTTACAAAATATTAAAAGATAGAACAATACTCTTTTTCATATAATACATGCTGAAAGCCAGCTGTGAACAATGAAAACCTGATCCATTACACAATATGCCATTCCAACAGCAAATACTCAAAATCTGTCAATAGAAAAAGCACTGTGGTCATCTATATACATTTAAATACATCACCTTCTGTAAATTGCATTTTCACAGCACTTGTCACCTCTAAGATGCAAGAGTCAGGATTTCTCCTTATCTACCCATTGTGCTTCCATTAGGCTTTGTATTACCATAGTATAAAACGCTGTGTAGTTTAAACAAGGTTCTCCTACCATCTTCTATTCTATCAGATAATAAATACCCAATAAGTGCATAGTCCCACTGCAGTGCTCTGCTCTATTGTTTCATTTAAACACATCAAAATCAATGGTAAACAATTCTTGCTCATGGCTGCCCTTGAAATTGGAAATTTTATTTTATGAATACAAAAAGCATCTCATTAGAAAGTAATTTGAACTACTCTCATTCTGGCTTGTGCACTCTTTTTAGAAATACAATACTTTATGCATATTTTTTAAGCTCATCATGATAATAATGAACACACAAATCGTTAAGCTTGACAACATTGTTTCCTCAGATTTCAGTGACACAACTACATCTTAAATGTTCCTTAAGCTGTTAAACATTACGTTAAAAAATTTGCACATTGAATCTTGATTTATCTGGGATCAGGGAGCTGCTTTCAGATTTCATGCTTCGGCATAATTCAAAAACAGACACCGCTGTATTTGCAGCATATCCATTCTCATTTCCCCCCTCCCAGTTAACCATTCTTATCCACTCCCAAGACAATATCTATTATTTTGCACAACTGAAATACTTGATTTGTACCACCCCTATGTAATGCACGAAATCATATCCTATCTTGAAGGGACTTCTATGTCCCGAGACCCACAATCTAACTGAGCTCGAGGGCATTATGAAGTAGAGCTGTAATTACTGTTTCAACGCTCAACAGTCAGGTGGCACATTAATGAACTGAAGTGAATGAGTTTACTGAAAAAAATCCTTTCATTACTGTTGTGACTGTCACTCTGATTTGTTTAATTAGATACCTACACATTAAACACTGTTTTGGTCCTCTTGCACGGTTCCATTCAGTTAATAGAAAGGATTCCAAGAAAAAAAAACTAACTCACGAAGAACAACAAATAGAACCTCAATCCACAGTGGTTGGCTACATCTGTTTAAGATTGTCAGACATAAATTGAATTCAGATTCTTATTACCATAGAGCACTCTGTGGCCCTGCCCACACTCACACCTTCCTCCAGCCCCAGTCAACTCCCCAGTTACCTACAGCCTCACCTTGCCCCCACAGTCCTTATAGACTCATCCTTCATCTTACAGCATCACCTTGCTCCCTACAGACCTGTCGCATTCACTGTCGCTCTACCCTGCTCCCTACAGCTACACCCCCTCATTGTTCCTCTGCTCTGCCTTGCTCCCCACTGCCTTTCTCACCAAAGCTTTTCACTGCAAAAAAAACTGAACCTGCCGCAATCCAGTACTATTTCCAGAAACAATCTTTAAAACAAAAGAGCTAACAGCAGTGAAACCCACAGGTTTCTCTTGCTTTCAAGTTGCCTCATTCCATTGCTTTTCTGACAACAGGTGTATTTGTCACAAAACATAATTTGGTTGATTTCATGAGGCTAGACATGATAGCTGAAAGTCAATAATGTTCTTCCTTTGTAAAAGTGCACAATAATACACTGAACACCTCCCCAGACCCCACCCCACTGCCCTTTATAATGCTTTGTTCTGGTATGGACTGACTGCACTATTCTGGACCTACATGTCTCTGCTGATATAAACATCAAAAAGGTGACAGTAAAACAATCATAATAACTGCAGATATTGGATAATAATTTAATTAATATCTCAAAACTTTATATATGTAAGATGTCCTTAGGTATATCTGGCTGCATGTGTTTCTCTCCTAAGTCTTTATTAGAACAGTGTGTTAAATGTTTACCTCTCTATATATTTCTCAGAAATGTCCAGATGGGGAAGGAAATATTTTAAGAGGAGTAAAGCGTGTTTGTTCAGACACCGTGTTCATTTTTTCATACCTAGTATTATCAAACTGTTTTATTCATTCAGGATTGTGGGTGTCCCTGGCTGGGCCAGAATTTATTGCCCACGCTTAGTTGCCCATGAGAAGGTGGTGGTGAGCTGCCTCCTTGAACCACTGCAGACCATGTGCTGTTAGGAGAACCGGGGAAGCACTGAAGATCAGAGGGACCTTGGTGCGTACGTCTACCGGTCCCTTAAGCTAACAGGACAGATGGGTAAAGTGATTAAAAAAAGCATATGGTACACTTTATTAGCTGAGGCACAGAGTTTAAGAGCAGGGAGGTGGAGCTGTATAAAATGTTGGTTAGGCCACAGCTAGAGTACTGTATGCAGGTTTGGAATTCACGTTATAGGAGGATTGTGATAGCACTGGAGAGGGTGCAGAGGAGATTTACTAGCATGTTGCCTAGGCTGGAGAGTTTCAGATGAAGACAGCTTGGACAGACTAGAGTTGTTTTCCTTACAGCAAAAGAGATTGAGCGGGAACATGAATGAGATGTATAAAATTATGAGGGGCATAGATGGACTAAATAAGAAATCTTTCCGCTAGATGGAGGGATCAATACCAGAGCCACAAGTTTAAGGTAAGGGGCCAAAGGTTAACAGGAAACTTGGGGAAATCTTTTTACCCTTAAGTTGCTGTAAATCTGGAACTCATACCTCTATGGGTAGCAGAGGCAGAAACCCTCATAACATTTAAGAAGTATTTAGATGTGCACTTTTGAACCAAGGTATACAAGATCAAGGGTCAAGTGCTGAAAAATGGGGTTAGAATAAGTATCTATTTCTGGCCAGCACTGACATGATGGGTCAAAGTACCTTTTCCAATCCTGTAAATCTCTATGACCCACAATATCATTCTGGAAGGAGTTCCAGCATTTTTACCTATTGACACTGAAGGAACAGCAATATATTTTCAAGTGGCTTGGTGGGTGTCTTGAAGGGGAACTTGCAGGGAGTCGTGTTCCATGTGTCTGCTGCCCCTGCCCTTCTAGATTTTGGTGATTTGAAAGGTGATTTGCTGAGGATATTTGGTGAATTTTTGCAATGTATCTTGTTGAAAGTACACGCTGCTGCTACTGAGCATCGGTGGTGGAGGGAGTGAATGCTGGTGATGTGGTGCTAGTCAAGTGGGCTGCTTTGTCCTGGACGGTGTCAGTTTTCCTCGAGCTACTCTCATCCAGGCAAGTGGGGAATATTCCATCACACTCCTGATTTGTGCCTTGTAGATGGCGGACTGGACTTTGGAGAGTCAGGGAGATGAATTACTCACTGCAGGATTCCCAGCCTCTAATCTCAAGCCTCTCTGCTCCTATGATGCTGCTTGGCCTGCTGTGTTCATCCAGCCCTGCACCTTGTTGTCTCGGATTCTCCAGCATCTGCAGTTCCTACTATCTCTAATCTGCTCTTCTAGCTACTGTATTTATATGGCTGGTCCAATTATGTTCCTGGCCAATGGTAACCCCAGGATGTTAATAGTGGGGATTCTGTGATTGTAATGCTATTGAATGTTAAGGGTCAATAGTGAAATTCTCTCTTGGAGATGGTTGCTGCCTTGAATTTGTGTGGCATGAATGTTATTTGCCACTTGTCAGCCCAAACCTGGATACTGTCCAGGTCTTGCTGCATTTGGACATGAATTTTTTGTTTACTTTGCGATGGAAGGAAAGAAATTGATGAAACACTGAAGATGGCTGGATTTACAACAACATCCTGAGGAACTCCTGCAGAGATACCCTGGAACTGAGATGACTGATCGCCAAAAACCACAACCATCTTCCTTTGTGCCAGGTATGACTCCAACCAATGGGAAGTTTTCCCTGATTCCCACTGATTGGTTTAGCTAGAGTTCTTGATTCCACACTCAGTCCAATGTGGCCTTAAAGTCAAGTCAAGTTACTCTGAGCTCATCAGCACAGAAAGACCATTCAGTCTGCTGGTTCTCTGCAAGAGGAACTCAGGTAGCTCCATGCCCCTGGCTTCTCTCCAGAGTTCTGCGTATTTGTTTCTCTTCAGGATCAGGTGGAAAGTATGCAACTGCAAGTTCCCTGATCCTGTTCCTTAAACCTGTATCTTCACAGTTCTCCAATACCTAAGTTCCTTTCCATTTACGTAGCAATGCAAATTAGTGACTGCTTCATTTTAAAGAGAAAAAAGCTTCTTGGTTAAAAAAGTTTAATGTTGAAATACTGTTCATTTAACCAGCTCTCTTTACCAACGGTCTCCTTTTATATTGAAATGTAATCCACTTTTGGTTAGCAAATCTAATTAACTTGGCTGCCAATGACACAAAGTTTCATTCACTTTACCTACAAGCAGTAAGAGAGTTTGACAAATGTTATTTGTAGTGTATTCTGCAGTCCATAAAACAATTTTAAATCAATTTCAAAAGACTGGCAGACAAAGTGCTCACAACTTGACATCTTTTGAAGATAATATGACTTAGGCATGACTCCCTGGGCACTAGCATAGCTTGTAGTGGTCCCTATTTCGGCAACAGGGCATCAAGGTAATTTGATTATGAACATTAAGGTTTGGCTAATAAATCACTTGTTGGCACTTGCTAGCTTGACAGCGTTAATTGAATGTGCATTTACATACTCCACTGACCAGCAAATACACTGGGAATGGGAGAATTGCATTGAACTGTGCAGCATGATGTAGGGAACTAAATCTTACATACCCATAACAGACCATGGGTCTTTTGATAGCACTTCTAATTTAGGCTGTGGTTTTGATATCATTGCAATATTTAATACTCTAGTATTAATCTTTCAATAGTGTAATCTAACTTCTTTGTGTGAAACATTTTAAGCAAGTTAATTACTAAATCATGCCAGGTCAATCACAAATATGAGAGCAACAGGGTCATTGACCAAAACCCTCCATTCATTTCGAGCACACGGAAACTCATTATTTGACAACAACTCTTTTATAATCAATACTACTCATTTGAATGAGGATTACTCTTCATTTTGCATATCCCTTTGGAGAATTTAAATCAAATTAGCTTCAGCTCAAATCAACTATCTAGTCTAAACAGTCGAAGATTATATAATCTGGAATGTACTAATGGAATAAAGCACACGGAAGATGTCAATCATCAACTGAGAGACACATTGTCAGTGTTTTTTTGTAAACTGCAGTGAACTATTCACTGGCAATTCTACTGTGTAGCAGTGACCACCCTGAGACACAATCCAGATAAGCTGCTTTTCATATATTGATTCAGATAAGTGACCGCTCAGCCCCTGTCAGTAAATCATTTTACATAAATAAAGATCACCAGCACATTTCAGGAAGGGATCACATAACAGGTGAAACTAAGCATCAACTAAAATGCAGATTGTTGCCATACAATAAAATTGTTCCTATTATCTTTTCTAAAAAAAAAAGCAGTTTTAGCTGTAAGTCTGTCAAATTTACAACTTCATCCAAATGGATAGGTAAAATACCTCCTGAATAAATAATATAAATAACTTAAGAAAATGTTCTAAACTTTCTCACAATGTGTCTTAAAAGCCATTGGAATATCATAGCAACTAAACAAATTAGCACACCAAAAGGAAGTTTTTTTTAATATATTAAAGCATACTTAAAATGTTGGCTTTGCCTCACTGCTGCAAAGCTGTAAATATCTGCAAAGTTAACATACTGATTAAATACTCTAACATATGTAGCTTCCCATTATATTTTCAAAACAAATGATGCTAGTGTCTTAATGGACATAAGTTGGATCCACCTGTCAAGTGATGAAAAGTGTCCTTTTCTTGTACATCTTGTCCCCTCTCTGGGCCTTCACTCGTTGGGTGTTCTGGGGCCAGCGGCAATGCAACTCTGGATTCACGAAAATAACGGGCATTTGGTTATCGCCCAGTCTAGCAGTGCTTGAACGGTCATACTTACTTTCATCAACCCTTTTCCTTCTAGTATGTGATGGGGCAGACATAATTTTTCCTAAGGAAAGGTAGCATAAAAAGGCAAAGAAGATTACTAAAGATTCATTTAGAAAGACTAAAAGCCACAAATGTCTAAACAGAGCTCTGTGAATGCACGTGACACTTATTGTTGCACCCTCAGACATCTGACCTGAGGTGAATTGGTCGACATATAAAGTTGGGCTGGACTGATTATTTTTGGTTGGTGCTCTGTGAACATCAAGAAAAGTAACTGAGTCTGAAGAACTCAGAGGGTCATTTAGTTCCCCCACCTTCACATCACACAAACACCTTAAGGTGGAATGTTTCACTACTGCAATGTCCAGAAAACTACTCGAGTAAGTAAACTCCTACCCAGTGGCAGACAAAATTGAGAGGCAGCCTGAATTCTGAAGCCAGCAGAATGCAATCAACATCACTGACTGACCTGTAACCAGGTCATAAGCCTCATGAAGGGCCACACTGACCCCAGCATTGGTAAGACAACATTTATTGGTCTTCCTTACAAGTGCTTGAGATGATGGCAGTGAGCAGCTCAAAAATCAGACACAAAGCATTTCATAATACCCCCATCTTCTCCCCCCGCCACACACATACCTTCATAAACCCTTGTGCTGCTCAGCAAGCCCAGATTGTTTTTGTTATCAAGGTGTTCCGTATTACACATGAGCTGAGCAGAAACACTTACCTCCACTCAGATTCAGATCATGCGCTGCGTGATATTAATTTACTAGCTCAAAGCAAATATCCAGCTAATTGCTGCACAAAGGACAGAAAATGGGGAATCTGCAGGGAGCGTTCTGATCAGCTAAGCAGTTTACAGTTGCACTGTGGATTTCATTTGGCATTGTTTGTTATTCAATATCAAAGGCATTTTGTACTTTGGTGAAAACAGGGCTTTTGTTACTTATGGAAAATAGGTAATATTTTACTCACTGTTTTACAGAACAAATCTCCTCTGTGTATTTTAAGTGAAACACCTTCTTCCTGGATTAAGATTCTTTTAAGTCCACTTCCAACTGGAAGGTAGGCATAGACCTACAAGCCAGTAGGGATCATGTATCAGGACTGGCCCTGCCATCCAAGATCTCTTGGAATGTACTTTTTTTAAAGAGATGAAATTGTTATACGATCAGGCTGTCACCACTAGGGGTCACTACAAGTCAACAATTCTATTTCATCCAAGCGGACCATTCCCTTTTGAAGAGCAATCGCGAAAATAAAATTCTTAAATCCCATTTCCGATGCAAACTTATCCCAATGCTGTAGCTTGTGACAGAATCATTAAGAATTTAAATGACCATTTAGATTTTAAGTTGACATAACGTGCGGAATAGTTCACAGCGAGAAGTGCACACATTTCTTAAACATATTAAATATATTATGTTCAGATTTGCTTTGCAGCAGCCCTCAGTTTCGAAGTGGCTGTTGGTAAGAGCAAAGTAGATTTGTAAATCCTGACACCACTTAACTGACCTTAGGAGAGCCAGCAGCAAACTGTCAGAGATATAGGAAACTACAAAGCTAGTTTTTCAGGGCCACTGTGCTGCTCGGCAAAAAGAGTTAGTTAGTACGATAGTAGCAAAGAGTGGGTATTAATAAGAATACAAATACCTGTAATCGTATTAAACACACAGTGCAAGGAAATCTGCACATGCAATGTTCTATATCAATGAACTCCAGTTGTATGTAATATATAGCAACACTAAAAAGCAAGCGTGGAAAAGGCAAAAGCCAAATAGATCCCAAGTAAGAAAGGCTGGTGTTGGCTGTTGAACCTTCTCCCAGTGAGCCAGCAGAGCGCCAACTGTCTTTTGAATGTTCTGGACGTCCGACTGCAGGATGTCATACGGAGAGCAGATGTCAGCCTATCCGAGGGGCAGCGGCCAGGACAGAAGAACAGTGCACGATATTACAAATACAAAACTTAGCAAAGAGTCTGTATAAATAAGAACTAAACAGGCTGGGTTAAACAGCATGCATGCGAAAACCGTGCTGTCTTACATTGCCTTCTATCTACGAAAACTGCCAGAGGAACCAAATCATTAGTGCTTCGGCGGGGGGGGGGGGGGGGGGTGGTATTGTCGGATGGAATTGTTAAGCAGGTTTCTGGGAACAAAACAGTAAGACAGGCGCTTTTCTCAGTGCGTTAATGCATATTGTGGAGAGAAGCGGACTTAGGAACATTTCAAAAGCAGCTCTGCCAGAGTTAACGCCAGTTCATAAATGGTAGCTGAAAGAGAGAAGCAGGGAAGATGCGATTATCCACAAGCTCGTCTATCTACTTGCCACAGGATTGCAGCTACTCAAAGAACTGAAACTGCAGAATTGTGTCAGTCTTTGTGGTGATCAGTCAAACCTCTTGATTCTCACAGAAACAATGCAGAGGAAAGTAATTGCCTGATCCCTCACCCACCATCCTGAGATAAGATTTGATCAGCTACAAAATGGCAAGTAAAACTTTGTTCATAAGTTAAAGGTTAAACATTGATTAAAATTGGCTTAGAGATCAAAATATCTACATTTTCTCTCACTGCAGTGGAGAAATACATTGTTTAGATTTTGAATGGAAAGGACATGTTAAGAACAGTTCACCCCAAAATGGTTCATTCCAGTGACACTGCTGACCATGAGCCAGGTTGTGCTAATTAGTCAATTACTATTAGGCTATCAGCAAAATGGTAGGGTCTTGTGGGGCAGTGGTAGGGTCCCCATCTCAGGGCCAGGTTGTCAAAGTTCAAGTGCCACCTATCTCAAAGGTAGGTCGTAACAAACACACAAACACTTGTGTTCTGAGGGAGGATCACTGGACCGGAAATGTTAATTTGATTTCTCTCCACAGATGTTCCAGCAATTTCTGTTTTGGTGTATGTCATAACAAGTCTGAACAGGTTGGTTAAAAGCAACTATGGTGACAGTGTTGGGTCATGCTGAAGATAGGACTGCAGACAATGTGGCCACCCTTATTTAAATATAAATAAAGGAAGGCACTTGTGCCACAGCAGTAGTGCCCCTACCTCTGGTCCAAAAGGCCCAGATTCAAAGTCCCACCGGCTGTGGAGCTATGTCATAACTTGTCTGAATAGATTGGGTAAAAATATCTATCAGTGAAATGGAAGCAGGCTGCAGCAAGTCTGAACTGCACAGCAACCATATCCCTGAAATTGTAGCACCATCAATACATTGGGCAACCCACAGTTCCACAATGGGTCCAAGGCCTGTGGCTCCCCAGCCTATTAGTTCCCAATCACCACTGCATCTGTGAGCGAGGTAATAGGAAGGATGGGACAACCATAAGTGAACATCAATTACCATCTTATAGAGACAGCTCTTATCCATCAACTAGGAGACAGAGTAGCACTGGCTAAGGTCTGGAATAAAATAGTAATTAAGCCAAAAAACATGATATTTTGCAGCAGTAAGATCTAATATAATTTGAGATTTTGTCAGGTCAATGTGTCCTTTCTGCAGACAACATGAAGCACATATACTGAAACTGCAGAATTCTGGTTGTCTTGATCTGAGCTGCTTTACACTTGAATCCAAAGGTAATCACTCTGCACAAGATTTGTAATTGAAAACTGGTCAACATTGTTTGACTATGACACATAGAAGGAAAACCAAGAGGTCTGTTGGGATAAATTTGTTTTTGTTCTAACCAAACATGAAGCTGCTGCATAGTTCTTAGAAAGATGTGAAGCCAGAGACATTGAGATATTTATAGTACATCTGGCTGCTAACATCTTAAATCATCTGCTGGTTCAGCCTTATGATGCTAAAAGGCACATCCAAGTTATGCTGATGTGGGCGTCCCAGCAGAAGCAACTATGGATGACAGTGGCTAATGTAAAAACTACTTGTCTAATGGAGTCTCAGCCAAACACTATTTTGAGACACTCCTTATTTCATGCATATTAGGTTTCATTCAACCAGTTGGCTGTGCAAACATGGACCCAAACTAAAACATGGAGTTTTAATTCAGTATTCACAGAATTATGAATGTTTGGCATTGAATTTAAGACCACATTTTTATTCAAATCTAGGGATATAGAGTATCAACTGATCAAACCTTCCTCGTGCTGGCGCTGCACTGTTGGTGCTACAGAAAAGAATTTGTCCAGTAGCAACAAAAGACTGCCTTATGGATTCACTTTTTGTTTTTAAATGAAAGATTAATCTAAGCACTGTAAATGAAACGGAAATGGAAATGATTTTCCAGGTTCCATGTGAACTACAGAAGCTATTGCTGAGAACAGGGAGTAGCTTCATAACGATATTCAAACAAAGTACACAATAGAAAAGGGTATTCATTCCCCTCAAACTTGTTAAACCCTTCAATTAGATCAGGACTGGTCTGTATCTCAACTCCATTTATTCAGTTTGGCTCCAAATGCTTGATATCCACATCTAACAAAAATCTAGAGATCACAGGCCTGAACAGTTAAATTCACTCAGCATCTAGTTTCAGATTCCATACGTATGAAAAATTGCCTCCTGAATTTATTCATAAATGGTTCAGTTCTAATTTTAAGATTATGTCCTTTGCACTGGGCTCCCACAGCAGCGAGAGTCATTTCTTTCTATCTACCCTAATGACTTCCCTTATTAATTTGAAATACCTAAATCATTTCACTCCTTAATCTACTAAATACAGAAGAATACAAAGCAAGGTTCTGTAACCTGTGCCAACTGTCTTTTTGAATGTTCCGGATGTCCAACTGCAGGATGTCATACAGACAGTAGATATCAACTTTTGTAAATTTAACCATTTAAACTGTGGTATCACTTTGGTTAACAAGTGCTGTAGCCCCTCCAAGGGCAATACACCCAACTTGAGGTCCAGTGCCAAAAATAAACGCACTTACATCAAATGGGCTCTGAATGTAACTCTATACAACTGAAGTATAACTGCCTCACTGAAGTATTCCAATGCCCATGAGATAATGGTGCAGATTTGACACTGTGACTCCTCTGATAACTTCCTCTGGCTTTTAGGGTAGCAGGTCACAAATGTAGGCC